GGATGACCAGAAGACATGGCAAAATACTAAAGTGTTTTCTCAACCATTAAAGAAGGATTAAAGATATTTATGATAGTTTTAGTTTAAATATATTTTCATGTACTCCTTTGACAATTGTAGTCATTGTGTCATGACATAGCCTTGTTTTAACATGGCATATTTATTCACATGCTTATAAAGTCAGCTTTAAAAATATTGAAATACCAGAATAGCAAATATTCTAGTTGGAGGAAACAGTCACTTAACAAATAATAATATAATTCAGACAGCAAAGATCAATGAGGAAAAACAAAGTAGTCTATAGGGATGGAGAGTGATCAGGCTACTTTAAATAAAATCCATGTCAGGACAAGCTTTCCCAGTGGGGTCACACTTAAGAAAGACCAATGGAATGAGGAAGTATGCTATGCAAATATCTGGGGAGAGCACCCCAGCCAGAGAATAATAACTAAGGCCTTACTTAGTATGTGCAGGAAATGCCAAGAAAGTTGGTATGACTGGAAATTACGAAGCAGGGAGTACAAGGTGGGTGCCAAAGGTGGTGGGATGGTGGTGATGATTGGTTTTTTTCCTAATGTGCAAAAAGGGGAATCCAGTGATAAGCTATAAGTAGAGGATTAGCAGCATCTCATTTATATTTAAAACAAAAAGCACAAGAGCATTCTAGCTCCACTGTGAAAGAAAAGTGAAAACTGGAAGACCGATTTGGAGGCTGTTAACAGTGGAGCCATAAACTATGCAGCTAGCTCCAGATGGTAACTGTGAAGGCAAGAAGTGGCCATAGTCAGGATCCATGTTGAGGGTAGAGTTGACAGAATTTGCTGATGGTTTGCATGTGTTGTGTGAGAAGAAGAGGAGTTGGGGGATGTTTCAAGGTTTGGCTTGAACAACTGAGCAAATGATGGTAAACTTACTGAAGAAGACGCATACACCAAAGAAACAATGCAATGTCTTGAGTGCTATTATAGAGAAGCTCAGAGGAATATAGCTGTGAAAAAAACAAAACAAAGCAACTCCCTCAAACAACAACAAAAACCAAGGATTTTCAATATCAAAAAAGCAAAAAACATTATCCAGAAAGATGGAGGCCTGGTAATTAAAGTCAGCCTTAAGCTTCTACAGTTTCAAGTATTGTTTATTATTTTAATTCTCTAGAAGTGAGATAAAAATGTCAAGTGATAGGTAACATGGTGATCACTGATGATGGTCTTAGTACTATTTTGGTGAACTGATGAAGATGAAAGTCAGTTTAGAGATGTTCAGCAGGAAGTGTGAGAAGGAGCAAATGGAGAAAAATCAATAGTTCATAAAATTTTTGACCAAAAGGGAAGGAGAGATAGGATAGCATCTGGAAGGTGATTAACATCTAGGAAAAGATTATTTTGGTTTTAAAATAAGAGAGTTTTGAGAAGCCAGAGTTTAGAGAGACTAAGATGGCTGGAATTTGCAGGGCCGAGTGCCAGAGAGGAGGGAAATACATAGAAAAATAGCTCCAGAAATTTGGTTAATGGTCCCCTTGATTCTTTGAAGTCTAAGCAGCACAGGGTGAAACTCATGCTCTTGACAAAGAACAGGCATGAACAACTATCAGGGAGATGTAAGCTGCATAATTTTTAGACTCATACAGGTCTGGAAGACATTCTGATTTTGACCCAAAAGATTGGAGAGATCTTATTGAACATCTGGGGTATTAAATGGAGCCCCCAGCAAGGTCGTGCCTTAGTAGCAGAATGGTTAATCCAGCCCTAGAGCAAACGCTTCCCCAGGCTTGCTGTAATAAGGCTTTAAAACAGACCTTAAATAGATCAAGCTGAACCATAAAAAAACAACTGTCAAGCAGAACAAAATTCAACATCCTTTAAGAGAACCCCCCCAAAAGAATCCAGACACTCAACAACGTAATTTTCACAATGTTTAGCTGCCAATAAAAATTATTATATATGCAAAGAAATATGTGATCTAGTCAGAAGAAACTCAGTTGTTAAGCCAATAGAAGAGATAAAATTGGATACTAAAAAAATTCAACTCTCCAAAAGAAGATAGGAAAAAAGGAACCAGGGACCAAATCAGAGAAAGAGAAAACAACTAACAGAATGGTCCATTAAAACCCAATTATATCTATAACTGTATTAAATGTAAATGATTTAATAATCCAATTAAAAGTGAGAGATTGTCACACTGAATAAAAAAACAAGATCCAAAATATAAGCTGTCTATAAGAAATCTCCTTTCAGTATAAAGATAATGGATAGGTTAAAAGTAAAAATAAGGAAAAAGATACACTGAATTAATCATAAGAGAGCTGGAGTGTCTATATTAATACTAGATAAATTATATTACAGGGCAAATAATATTACCAGAGAAAAAGAGATATATATCATCATAATGAAAAGGTTCATTTGGAAAAATGGTCCTAAATGTTGTTCACCTAATAACACTTGTTTAAAATACATGAAGAAAAAAATGATACCATTTGTCCTTAGCATCAAAAATAATGAAATATTTAGAGATAAGTTTAACAAAATAAATGTAATGCTTATATGCTGAAAAACTATAAAACATTGCTGAGACAAATTAAAGAAGACAAATAAGTGAAGAGATATACTTGTTGGATACAGATACATTGCTGGTGGGAACACAAGACAGTAAAACAATTTTGGAAAAAAAAATTATTATTATTATTTTTAATTTCTTTTTGTAAAACTAAACATGCAGTACCAGACAAGCCAGAAATTCTACTGCTAGGTATTTATTCAAGAGAAATGAAAGCATATTTCTACAAGAAGACTTATATGAAAATGCCCATTGCAGCTTTATTCATAATGGTCCCAAATGGAAACAACCCAAAGGTCCATCAGCTGAGTGGATAAATAAATAGTGTTGTATTCATACAATGAGATACCACTCATTGTTAAAAAGGAATGAATCACTGATACATGGAACAATCTGAATGAATCTCATAAGCATTCTGCCAAATGAAAGGAGCCATACATAAAAGGTACCTATGTAATAATTTTATATTAAATAGTCAAAATTAATCTATAGCAAAAGGAGGCAGATCAGTGGTTGCCTAGAGTGGATATGGGAAAGGGAGTCAACTGGAGAGAGAGGCAGGAGCAAGTATTTTAGGGTAATGGAAAGTTCCACATATCATTGGTTATACATATGAGTTTAATAAAACTCATCATACTTACACTTAGGTGGATTTTGTCAAATCTAAGCTGGCCCTCTGTAAAGTAGACTCAAACAAAGTAATGGGAATAATTTGTTAGGTGGAAGGTGATTACTCAAGAGAAAAGAAGGATGATTAATGTATGACATAACTGGGAATATGTATGTTCTATGAGAGTGGGGGAATTGGTTATCTTGTTTAATGTGTGCTCTTCTCAGTGAAATGCATTTATTTAGGGGTTGAACGAGTGTTTATTGAATGAATGAGTGAATTAAAGATGAATAGGTTAAAAATCCAAAACACACATTAGATATTGGGCTTAGGTAGTAGGAGAAGCATTTCCTTTAATATAATACAGGGATATGTGTAGAGGCTCTTGTGAATATGTGAGGCTGTTGTGAATTTGTTGATCATGAATTTATAGTAATACTGTTTTTCCCTATAGTTTAATATTCTCTAAGAATGCTCAGATGCTTGAGCACAAAGGCAAAGAGAGAAATTCTTACTGTCTGTTCATGGTTTGGATATTCTAAAATTGATTTGGTGAGAAGACAGAAGGACACAAAGGTTTATTTAGGGTGTGGCAGGAGTGTTATTAAAATAATAGATCTTTAAATCTAAGCAGGATAAGAAATAAAGTGCAATAAGAGTAAGACACTTAGAGTAAGACATACACAAACAACAGCTTTAATTTGGATGTTAGATGATGCTCTCCTGACATCCAACAGCCATTTCCCCTACAAGGGGGATTTTTATTCCAGCTGTGCCCTTTTAAGTCATTGCTTACTGCTGTCTTCTCTGCTCTCCCAACCTCACACAATTATGCTTCCTTACTCAGAGTAATCTGTCCCTCCATTCTTAGCTTGAAACTGAACATCAATTTTTGTTATATACCCAGACATAGTAAGATGTCCATTTAGGAAGGGCCAACACAAAGAGCCAGCTAAAACTTTGAAATTTATTTTTTTTCCCCTTTAACATAAACAGAACACCCTCCTTCTCCAGTCTCTGGAAATGGAAGAAAAATGGTGTGATAATTTGTTTTCACCTTGACTGAAGAAAACCCATAGGAGCCATGAATTTGTTATTGTGCATCATGGCTACCCATGAATTCTCAAGATCTCATAACACAATAGAGATTTTCCTAGAGCTCTATACTTTTTCTTTACACTGTATTACCATTTGCCCTGTTTCAGATTTTATCCAAATGGGTTTTACATTTTCTTATATGTGGTTATCTATTGCTTTTTAGTTATTTTTCATACGTGATTTCTGCTTTCTCATAAAGAGTAGTGATTAGAAGCAAGTACTGATTATTAGAACTGTCAGGGTATCTAATATATACCGGTACTCAAGGATTCTTGTGTATCAACTTAGAATTATGCTAGTATATGTTATTTAATGATCATCTATTATGTGCCAGACAATGTGCTAAGTGCTTTACATATATGATCTCTAATCTTCTCCTTGATCCTTCAGGGAGAATATGTATCATTATGCCCATTATACAGAAAAGGAAAACTGAAATTCTAGCAGCAGAAGTAACTTGCTTGATTCCACATAGCTAAGTTGAGAGACTAGATCCGTTAGATTCCAAAATGCTTTGCTCTTCCTGCGATTACTCCAGGAATTCCAAAGCCACCAATACTGGCACTATCTCTCTATCAGTGATGTTTTTTAAATGAAAACTTTATGGTGCACTTCGTGGTCAGTGACCACATCCTTTTTGTATGATTACATTCTCTTCAAGTTTCTAGACACCGTTCATTTTTTATGTGTTTTTTAAAGCTCATATATGAACCTGACATTTTTTCTCTCTACATTTCAGTTTGACCCCTTAACAATTGAAAGCAAAAAAGCAGCAACTGTGGTGTTAATGCTTAATTCTCCAGAAGAAGAAATTTTGGCTAAAGCATGTGAAGCCATTTATAGATTTGCTTTAAAAGGTTTGGTTTTTTTCAGTTTATTTTTCCATTTCATTAGTTTCTTAAAATATTTACTACATAATGGGCCCTTTCTTCCTAGTCTTTAATTCACTTCTTGTCAGATGAATTCTTTCAGACAACCAGAATATCATTTAATGCATTACCTGAAAGTAATATATCTCCCTAAGTGCCTATCTTAATCTTAAGGAGTAATTTAGTCACTGCATAGAATAGTCATCTTGAAGGTTTTATTGTAGTTTAAAAAATTGTAAGTCACAGGAGCTACAAGAACTCCCAGTGGTCAAAGCTGGAACAATTTGAGCAACAAAATAAAGTAGTATTGAATTATAACTCAAAGTATAAATAAGTATTTATGAGCCTGTACTGATAAAAATAAATAATTGAATAAGTAAATAAATGAGAGAGAAAATAAAAAACTCCCATGCAGAAGAATTCCAAATAATTTATGTACTCTGACCTCAAAGAGGCAGAATGTAACTTTTCACTCTGTGGGTGTGGGCTTTGCATAGGGACTTCTTTTCAAAGATTACAATATGGAAATAGGGAAAAAAGAGTAAGTTCATAGTGGAGAAACCTGACAAGCACTACTGAGTCAGGTGATCAAAATCAGCATCAATAGTGATAAGTCATAGTGATAATATGTGAACTTGACATGATGTAATGAAAAATGGCACTTCTGTTACTTTTCCCCAAAACTTATAACCCTGAAATCAGACAAGTTCCAAGTCAGGGACATTCTACAAATACGTCTAACCAGTACTCCTCAAAACTGTCATTGCTATCAAAAACAAGAAAAGTCTGAGAAACTCATAGCCAAGAGGAGTTGAGGATAGGATATATGACTAATGTCACAGGGGACCCTGGATAGGATCCTGGAACAGAGAAGGAACATTAGGCTAAAAGTAAAGAAATCTGAATAAACATACTTTAATTAATAGTAACATATTAATATTGGTTTATTAATTATAACAAATGTATCTACTAATACAAAATGTTAATAGTGGGAACATGGGTTTAGGATGTGTGGTAACTCTGTTCTATCCTAGCAATTTTTCTGTAAAACTAAAACCATTATAAAAATTAGAATTTATTAAAACACTATACATGTTACAAGTTAGGTTCTATCTCAAGGATTATTCATAGAGGGTTTATAATCATAAATGATAATTGTATTCTAATTCATTCCAAGTGATGATAAAAGTAGACTTTTATTATACTGTATAACATTTTAATTGAGAATACTGAAGAGTTTAGTATAACTTTGTATTTTTAACAAACCATTTAAACTAAGAAGGGAGCAATTTGAATTTTAAGGAAATGATACTTACATTTAAGGAAATGATACTAAACATTGTTTTGGGACTTGTATGAGAGAACAACAAATCACTCAAGTAGCAAATGGTGAAATACTCACCTTGCTATATTTCACTCTAGTTATTGGGAATCCAGATAAAAACCAGAATCATTGCTTCTGGCAGGTATGGATCATGAGTAATTGTGTAGAATTCTGGGCTGGATTTCAGGGAGACATTGGATCATGAAGTTAGGGCAACTTGAGTCTCACTCAGCCATACAGAATCATCAAATGCCATCTTTTTTTTATATGACATGAGGTAAAGAAATAGATATATATTTTATGTGAAATCAATACAGAAATTACTGTAAGTTTGGTGTTCTATACTAGCAGTATTTTCTGATTGTGTTTTTAAGATAAATGATAAGACATTACCTCCTGGCCATGATGGACCAAGGGGTCAAATTTACTTTCCTGATTGAAACAACTAAGAAAATAAGAATCTATGAAATAACAGTTGGCAAAACACTGGATATTAGGCAATGAATGACAGACCATTGAGAGATAGGAAATGAAAGAAATAAACTTTGATTACCTCACCTTATTGATTTCAGAGAATTTCCAGGACCACATCACAGGAAGGGGTATCCTATACAGAGCCTTGTAGACTCTGAGAAGACAGATCTAAGAGTTCAGGGAGACAAAGGCAGCAAGAGTTTTCAGTAACAGAGAGGAAAGAGAAGTCGGGAGATTGGCAAAGGGTCTGATTCAAGTGTTCAGCTGAGTACTGATAAGGAGGTATGTATGTGGGAACTACTTGAAGTCAGACAAAGCACTTAACAGGATCAGATTTAACAGCGCCTGGTGCTCACACAAGTTGTGCCTATTTCCATCAGCCAGACTAGAAAACTTCAAGATTCATGGAGAATTATATAGAATACACCGAAGGGTCTTGCTTCAAGAGTTAGAAATTATTAGCCCTAGATAGAACCTTGCTCTAGTACCACCTAATAAATATTTTAAAAAGCAAGACCTAAAGTGATCAAATTGTTTCTGGATAATTATTTCCCAAAACAAATTTGAAGAATACAAAAATTACCATTTACCAACTAGGTAAAATTTATAATGTCTGGCATCCAATAAAAAATTAACAGGCCTGAAAAGAAGCAGGAAAATATAACCCATAATGAGGATAAGTCATCAGTAAATAAAAACTGACACAATGTATGTGTAAGTGTAAAGAAGAGAAGAAGGACAAAAAAAAATGTTAGAAGAAATAATGGCTCTGAATTCCCCCAACATGACAAAAACTCTAAGCTTCTGGATCCAAGAAGATCATAAAAAACCAAGCACAATAAATATGAAGAAAACTACACCAAGGTTCAACAAAATCAAATTGCTTGAAAAGAGTGATAAAGAGAAAATCTTAAAAAGCAGCCAGGGGAGAAGCACATTACATTCAGAGGAACAAAAATAAGGATGACGGTAGATTTATCATCACAAATGATGCAAACAAGAAGTCAGTGGAGCAGCATCTTTCAAATACTGAAAGAAAATAAACTTTAATCCTAGAATTTTATTCCCAGCAAAAATATCTTTCAAAAAACACAAGTGAGGGCGCCTGGGTGGCTCAGTGGGTTAAAGCCTCTGCCTTCGGCTCAGGTCATGATCTCAGGGTCGGGCTCTCTGCTCAGCGGGGAGCCTGCTTCCCCCTCTCTCTCTGCCTGCTTGTGATCTCTCTCTCTGTCAAATAAATAAATAAAATCTTAAAAAAAAAAAAACAAACACACAAGTGAGATAATGTCTCAGACATTCAAAAGCTGAAGTAGTTTATTGCAAGCAGACCCACACTACTAATTGTAGTAAAGTAGGTCCTTCAGGAAGAAGGAAAATTGACACTAGATGGAAATGTGGATCTACACAAAATAATAAAGAGAGAACACTAGAAATGGTAACACACAAAGTTTTTTCTCATTATTTAGATCACTTAAAATTGGTAATTTTAAACAAAAAGAGTAACCATTTCCTGTGCAGAAACACTTATAAAAATAAGATAAATGACAACAACAGAACCAAGGTAGAAAGGGGAAAAATGGAAGTATACTACTGTAAGTTTCTTGCACTATATGTGAAGTGGTCTATCATGACTGGAAAGTAGACTGTGATAAGGATATTTACTACAGAATTTAATACAACCACTAAAATGACAAAGAATAATATCAAATAAGCCACAAAGGAAATGAAATGGAATCATCAAAATAATATTCAATTCATACAAAGAAGGCAAAGATGAAAAAAGGAAAACAAAGAATAATGAGATGCATAAAAAACAAATAACAAGATGGTAGGCTTAAACCTAATGATATCAACTATCAAACTAAATGTAAATGGTCTGAGTAGTCAATTAACAGGGAGATAGTGCTATAGTCTATAAAAAGCAAGGCCAAACTACATGCTACATCCAAGAAATGCACTTAGAATGTAATGACACAAATAACTTGAAAGTAAAAGGATAAAAAAAGGTATCCTATATCAATACTAATCAAAAGAAAGCTGGAGTGACTATATTAATATCAGAATAATAAAAGAGCAGTATCAGATAAAAAACATCATTTTATAATAATAAAAGAGTCAATTAATCAAAAATCTATGAAAAATAAAATAAGATGAAAACAGAGAGGGAGGCAAACCATAAGTGATTCGTAACTATAAGAAATGAACTTAGGATTGTTGGAGGGGAATTGGGTGGGGGAATGGGGTAGTTGGGTGATGGGCATTAAGGAGGACACTTGATGTAACGAGAACTGGGTATTATATGAAACTAATGAATCATGAATTCTACCCCTGAAACTAATATTACAGTTTGTGTTAACTACATTGAATTTAAATAAAGGAAAAAAAAGAAGCTATGAAAAAACCTAAACAATTATTAATGTCAGACCTTCAAAATACATGAAGTTAGAGATGCAGGGAGAAATAAACACCCACAATTACTGCTGAGGACTTTAATAACCTTCTATTAATAAATGAAAGAACAAATGGATAGCAAGTCTATAAGAATATAAAAGATTTGAACAGCAATATAAATGAATTTAACCTAATTGATATTTATAGAACACTCCAAGCAGAATAACATTCTTTTCAATGCATACAGGACATTTATCAAAATAGGTGATATTCTGAGCCATAATACAAGCCTTAATAAGTTTATTTTTAAGTCTTAATAAATGTAAAAGAATTATAATCATATAAAATATATGTCACACCACAATAGAATTAAATTGAAAATCACTTAACACAAAGGACTCTGGATAATCATTAAATAGTTTGAAAGTAAATTACACACTTCTAAATAATCTGTCAGTGAAAGAATGCAAAAGGAAAATCCAAACTGAAGATGAAAACATAACATATAAAAATAAAAATTTGTGGGATGCTACTAAAAGAGTATCTGGGTTAGCCAAAAGTTTCTTAGATATGACCCTAAAAACATAATCCGTAAGAGGACAATTGATTGGATTTTATCAAATTTACCCTAAACACACACATCACCAGAAAAGATACACAGATGGCAAATAAGCACATGAAAAGACATCATATGTTATCAGGAAATCGCAAAGTAAAGCAATAATGAAATATCACTACACATTGATTAGAATGGCTAGAATTCTAAAAACTGACAACATAAAATGCTGGTGAAGATGTGGAAACAACAGGGACTCTCATTCATTGCTGGTGGGAGTCCAAAATAGTACAGGCACTTCGGAAGATGATTTAGTAGTTTCTTAGAAAGCTAAACATGATCTTATACATTTCTCAAAACCTATAGAATTGGAAAACACGTACAGTGAACCGTAATATAGATTATCAACTCTACTTAATAGTTACATATCAATATTGGTTTATCAATTGTAACAAATGTACCACACTAATGCATGATTTTAATAATAAGAGAAATGGGGGAGGAAAGGGAGATGGAGTATATGAGAACTCTGTATTTTTTGTTCATTTAAAAAAAAAGATTTATTTGAGAGAGAGAGAGAGAGAGAGAGAGAACATGAGCAGAGGTGAGGGGGAAGGGCAGAGGGAGAGACCCCGGAGCCCAACACAGTACTCGATCCCAGAACCCTGAGATCATGACCTGAGCTGAAATTCAGAGTCAGCGGCTTAATCGACTGAGCCATCCAGGTGCCCGTGTTCATTTTTTAATAAATTTGAAACTGCTCAAAAAAGTCTAGTAATTTTTTAAAAAGATGTGCTATAGACAAGAAGAAAATTTTTGTTAATCGTATATCTAAAGAACTCTCAAAATTGAATAATAAGGGGCACCTGGGTGGCTCAGTTGTCAAGCATCTGCCTTCAGCTCAGGTCATGATCCCAGGATCCTGGGATCCAGCCCTGCATGGGGCTCCCTGCCCAGCAGGGAGCCTGCTTCTCCCTCTCCCTCTGCCTGCCACTCTGCCTACTTGTGCTCTATCTTTTGTCAAATAAATGAATAAAATCTTTTTTTAAAAAACCTCAATAATCAAACCAAATTTAAAAATACATACGAGCAAGAGATTTGAACAGACACTTAACCAAAGAAATATATGGATGGCAAAAATGTACCTTATGCTCACCATCATCAGTTGTGAGGGAAATGCAAATTAAAACCATGATGAGATAATACCTCACACCCTCTAATGACTATCATCAGAAATATGGACAGATGTGTTGGCTAGGATGGGGAAAAATTGGAACTTTCAGATTCACTTTAGAACAGTTTGTCAGTTTCTCAAAAATAATAGTATTTAAAATTTTTTTAAAATATGTTTTAATGAAATAATTCAAGTTATATAATAAAAGTCTCAGAATGAAAATTTAAAGAAGCCATTAACTTTTATAACAATCTGATATATAATACATGTTTTTATTTAAGCATAAGTATCTTAAAATTTATCTTAAGATCATTTAACAAAATGTTTTCATCTAAGAAATTAAGTTTGAAATTTCCATAAAATACAAATATTGGAAGATTTGAAAAAAAGTTTGTAAGAGTCAACGATGCATATTTCAACATATTCTTACCAGGCGACAGATTTGACCGTATAGATACGGGGCAATTCCATGAGCTCTAAGAACATATAGTCCATGTCTTACCAGAATGTGGACCTACAACTTAAAATATAAAATATTCTAATTTTATGAGAAAACTGAGGCAAGGAAAGTTGAAATGAATCTCAAATTAATTTTGAAAGTGAAATCTATATTTTCATTGCCTGTGAAATTGAAAAGCTGAAATTAATCAGGATGTAAACATTATTCCTGACTTTGTACAATGCTATCTCACTCATCAAGTTATAGACAGACAACTTCTACAGTTAAGCGAGAGTCTGGCCTTACCTGGCCTTCTGGTTCTGGGGCTTCTTGCCACAGCTAAGGAGTCCCCGGTGACCCTGGCTGCTCCCATCTACATGCATACCTCCATGTTAGCTGCGGGCACATCTTGCCTGACAAAATAGCTATAACCCCGTTGGGTGAAAAATGAACCCCCGGAACTCACCCACGACCCCACTTTAACTCAAAGTGGGGACTATAACTCAAAGTATGTTAAGGAAGTCTTGTGATTAATTCTGCCAATCCATGTCTGGCACTATGCTAGGCACTGAGGGATATGAGAGAGTAGAATGGGAAGGGTGTCTGTCCTCATGGAAATTAAGTTAGAGTGGAACAGGCAGACAAAGCAAGGAGATCGCCAAGTGGTATGAAGAAGGTAGACTAAAGAAGGATAAGAAAGGCTTGGATGTAGTGATAACATTAGATTAGGGGGTCAGGGGAGACCCCCTCAGAGCAGGTGCAGCGTGGGCTGACAAGAGGAAACCAACTTTGTCACCGTCAGGAGGAAGGAGAGCAGCTCATGTCTAGGCTACCTGTGCTCTAAAGTTTATTCCGAGAGAAATATATGTGGAAGCAAAGAGGAATATGGGAGGCAAATGGCAAATAAGAAATTAAAATGACATGAGGAAGAGTTTTGATGAGACTGATGATGTTCATGCATGATTTTATTTTACCTGTGACATCAGGTGAAGAAAATAAAGCTACACTCCTTGAACTTGGAGCCGTGGAGCCCTTAACCAAACTGCTCACCCATGAAGACAAAATTGTAAGAAGAAATGCTACTATGATATTTGGAATCCTGGCTTCTAACAGTAAGTGTTAACTTTTAAAAAATAATCTAATAGTCTCATATAATGCATTATCTTTTTTAAATTTAATTTTAAGGGATTTGTTTGAATTTTATTTGAACTGACTTTAATGTTAACAAAAAGTTAAGTATATATAAAAGTTTTATTTATTTATTTTAGAGAGAGAGTGCCAGCTGGTGTGGGGGGGAGAGGGGAGGGACAGAGGGAGAAGGAGAGAGAGGCAGAGAAGGAGACTCCCTGCTGAGCGCAGAGCCAGATGCAGGGCTTGATCCCAGGATCCCGAGATCATGACCTGAGCCAAGACCAAGAGTCAGAGGCCAACTGACTGAGCCACTCAGCCGCCCCAAGAGATATTTTTAAAATATGAAAATATGGGGGCGCTTGGGTGGCTCAGTGGGTTAAAGCCTCTGCCTTCGGCTCAGGTCATGATTCCAGGGTCCTGGGATCGAGCCCCACATCGGGCTCTCTGCTCGGCAGGGAGCCTGCTTCCCTTCCTCTCTCTCTGCCTGCCTCTCTGCCTACTTGTGATCTCTGTCTGTCAAATAAATAAATAAATAAAAGGAAAAAAAAAAAAAAGAAAATCTGTGCAAATATATCCATGCAAAATTTGTCAAAGGTGGTGATGTATGTTCCAGTCTAACAAGTCGAAGGCAATCATTGTCTCTTAAAATTAAAATGGTTTTTTTTCTTGCGTTAGCATAATGCAATTTGTCTGCCTATATGTAAGCTACACTTCATATGTATGTCACAGTGAAAGTAGCCCAGGCTAAAGAGGTTTGACACATTGGGTTTTTTTGAAACTATTAAATATATTTTGCCAAAAATAATTTTAGATGTGTATTTATTTCTTAAATCAGACTCATTACTTGCTTGAATATTTTCATATATTTAATATGGTGGAATAATAGCATTAGTCAAAACATGCTATTATGTCTGTTAAAATATCAGTTTGACCAAAACCATGGCAATAAAGGCAGCCCCTGACTAATGAACAGGATGTATTTTCCATTTGAAAGTCATTTTCATGTTATAATGATAGGTTTTTTGAGTTAGCCTGTGAAAGTCTTCTAACTTTATAATAAAAAATGACATTCTTGGTAGAGACTGAATTCTAACATGAAACTCAGGCAGCTAGGAATAAATATGTCTCTCTGTCTCTCATGGCATGTGGCTAAAATTACCATATTTTTCCTCTCACCAGTCTCAGCGAAAACACAAGCAGTTAGTTTCCTCCTTCAGCTTCCGGCCCCCCCACCTCACTTTCCTGAACGTGCAAGACAGGGCGGGGGCGGGGAATGGGGGCGCTCCTTATTCCATGGTGTCCGGTAGGGACCGTCGCATTAGTCAGAGACAGGAAGATGGGAAGAGAAGGGCAAGGAGCATTTTCTGTGGCATCTGTGCCATTTCAGCCCCAGCTGCAGAGACGGCATGGACAGCACCTGCAGTGGTGGCGGGCAGGGGGGGCTCCGTCGGGGCTGTGACTGAAAGGGATTTTGGCAGCATGAGTTCTAAAGGTGGCTGTTGGGTAAGGCACGGGCTCTGCAGATGGCTGTGAGATGAGGATGGCTGTGGGGGAAGGATGTTCCACCAGCCCAGATTATGGTAACAGCAGTCAACCTTCACACAGCATTTCCAGTGTGCCAGGTGCTGCTCTACGTGCTATTTGCGTATCGTCATTTAATGAGGTTGGTGCTATGATCGTGTCCTTTACATATAAGGCAACTGAGGCACAGCGCAGTTAAATGAGGTAGTAATCATTTATACTGTGGAGCCCTCATAAATGTAATCTCAGGGGCTCTGTATACTAATTCTGCCATATTGAATGAGCCTCACTGAATGTACTTAAAACCAAAAAAGGGAAGACTAAAAATTTTCTTATGTTTTATTCTGTTTACTCACCACAGAATTTGAGAACCAGTGGTGCTTTGTAACACGTCTTTTGCAATTCCTGCAAGTCCTCATCTTAAAAATAGGAATGGGCTCTGAAGGGATTAGGTTCCTGGCACAGTCATGCAGGTGCTTAGTAGAAGAGATGAGATCAGAGCTAGAATTAGAACGTACTCTCTGGCTCATAGTATAGTGGGCTTTCTGTTCCTTGGATCTTCTCTGATCCTTAACGTTAGTGCACATGCTAAGTCAGGTTCTCCTTCTAAGTGATTTTGTGGGGGGAGAATGCAGTTTGTTTGGAATGGAGAGTTATAATTGCCTGTGTGTACTTATATGTTCTAATTTAATGTCTAGGTTTCTGTGACTTCTTTCCTGTTTACTTTTGTTCTTAATTTCTATTACTCATTTTAGTTTGCTATTTCCAGCTTCCAATATGTGAGGAGTTTGTAACCTGTGAAGCCCTCCAAATGGCAAAATTTTCCTGGGCAGGATCTATATAGTGAATTCCATGAGTTTCTAAAGGAGCCTGTGACCCCACAATATTGAGAATGACTGTTGAGTCTGAGTGCTAAGTGCGGTGGCGCTCAGACCTCTAGGGCCCTGCTCTGATGGCTGCTGACTGGGCGGCCACCAGTGCTGGGCGAGTTCAGTCTGCAGCCACGAAGCCTAGCAATGGAAAGAGCTTTGCTGTATTTGCGATTTGAGTCTTACATATGATGAATGAACTTCCAAGAGCTTTCTTTTGATTTCATGAATTGGGTGGAAAAAAAATCAAACCATTATGGGAATGAACTCATTTTCTATTTGAACACATGGCGTCCTCAGCCGCTTGTGGAGTTCCTTTTATGTTACTACACCCAGCACATTAATGGCTGTTGCTTTACTCTGCATACATGTCCAAGTTGACATGGAATAAAATATGAGCTGCAGTCACGTGCTCTAAATCAAAAGACATATTTCCAGATGAATACATAAATAAATGCACCTCTGTGGCTCCATGGTCAAGCTGTCTTTGGGCTGTTTTAAAATAACTAATTTTACTTTAGCAATTTTTATCTTTACATGGCTTTTATGGACTCAATTGTATCACTACGTTCATATGGATGAACCAACAGAAGGTTCCACAAACAGATGCCAGGTCCTAAAAGGATTGCCATGAGAGCAAACAAATCTTACTTTTTCTTCCTTGTCTTTTTTTCTGAAGTGATTGAGTTACCTGCCCATGCCAAGCCTGGGTCCTTCAAGATAGGCACTTAAATTACTTTGTTAAACCTTTTTATCGAAATGGAGCCTCTGTCTCCTTTTACCTGCCAGTCTGTGTTTCGTTTGATGAAGCCATCTAACAGAGACTTATTTAATGGAGTCCGCTAAACAGAGAGTTCATTGCAATCCTCAAAGCTCAGACTTTCCATTACTTTTGGCAGTCTGAAGAGCTTGCCATCTTAAGATATGGTTGATGTAAAAGAATATATAAGGACAAAAGTAAATTTAGACGGTCAGTATTATGCAACCAAAACTTGTAAATAAGAATGCACTGAGGGACGCCTGGGTGGCTCAGTTGGTTAAGCAGCTGCCTTCGGCTCAGGTCATGATCCCGGCGTCCTGGGATCGAGTCCCACATCGGGCTCCTTGCTCGTCAGGGAACCTGCTTCTCCCTCTGCCTCTGCCTGCCATTCTGTCTGCCCGTGCTCGCTCTCTCTCCCTCTCTCTCTCTGACAAATAAATAAATAAAATCTTTAAAAAAAAAAAAAAAAAAAGAATGCACTGAAAACAGATCCTTGAAGGTACTCCAGGACGTGAAGGTGCTGACAGTTCTGGAACAACCTAAAATTGTAGGTGTCACACTGTTTAGCAAGAGTGGATTTATGTGGGCCAACCACAAGTCAGCTGCCATATAGGGGAGTCTGTTGAGAGAGAAGGGGACAGAGGGCAATATTGTTTTTAAAGTGATGAAAACAGCAGCTTCGCACTTATTTTTATTTTACTGATTTAACCTCAAGAAAAGGAAGATTGGGGCGGGGAAGGCAATTTAGTGTCAAAAAGCAGAATAACCAATTGATCAGCTATGCTTCCGATTTGTAAGACCAGTCGGTGAATCCCAATCATCCACTGAGCCAAGAGAAAATGGTTTAGTGGATAGATCTACCAGATCTATCAGATTTGGCTAAATTTATATCGAGAAGGGAATTTCACAGCAGAGAGAATCCTCTGACGAGAACTTTGGACTTGCTAGGGCAGACCAAGGGATGATGGCACATACGGAGGCAGCAAGCCAGCCTCTCCCTGCAGGAGAAGGTCCTTCCTGCAGAGAAGCAAGAGGAACAGAGAGCACACAGAGCCTGAACGTCCCCGACATGTTATTTTATATACCAAATAGGGAATGAGCTTGAAAATGTAAAGGCCAGAAATATTTAGTGTTAAGTATGCAAAAATAGACTGGTATGGCCTTCTCATTTTGAAAAATAGAGACTGCAGTCTTCACAATGAGAAGAGAATAGAAACAGCTCTTCCGGAGGGCACGCACCTATATAGCTCGCCAAAACACCCGGAAGGATCTGAGTATTATGCCTTAACTGAGTTAATTCCCTGTCAAGGTAATACCTTTGTTTTTTGAATGAATGTCGACTGAAAAATAATGCCCTTCACTTTGGGGCACTGTGCTTTCCAGACACTCTACTATTCTTTTGTACTTCAAGCTTGGGTTGACATAGCTATAGCTAGCTGTAAATTTGCTGGCCCTCTATAGCCATTTTGAACAGAAACAGAGCAGAAGTTTCGGTGGGTAGAAAAGCAGCCACATCCCGGAATCCTGCAGGAAAAGGCGTCCAGTGGAGGTCAAATATGCCCAGTGGTTAATGAGGAAAAATTCACCCAGAGACATCTGCCTTAGATGCTGCTGAGCGAAATTTTCCAAAATTCTGCTGATGCTAATTTTGGCTTACAAGCAAAGATAATTGACCAAGAAGAGAAACTACAAAAGCTAATTAGTACCTATGCCTTATTTCTCAGAAAACGGGGGCTAAAGATGGCAGGAGAGGAGCGGGGGCATACCTGCCTGGACTTAATTAGGCTCACATAAATAATACAAAAGTGAACTTAAAAAATCGGTATACTTATCTTTAATCAGTTTTGGCATCTCTGATAAGAAAATGGAATACAAACAAGATATATTCATTGAAAAGGCTGAGGATAATTCTCTTGTGCATTCTGTACAAGTTTTATTAAAATCAAAATTTAAGAATACACTTCCCAACAAAGCAACACAACAAAGAATTTCTACTATATAATAAACAAATGTAGGGCACAGTTACTCAAATGTACTGATTATGGTCCAGGCACATTTTGTATTTTTTTGGTGTTTTGGAAGGAAGTATATTTCAGTGATCAAGGAGCAGAAGCCAGAGTCTGTCTAGGGTCAGGCAGCCCTGGACAGGCCACCTGGTCCCACCACTCACTTGCTATCTGATTTTTGAGTCTCAATGTCTTTATCTGTAAAATTAGGTAATAATAAAGCCTTCTTCATAAGGGTCTATTTCAACAACATCACCATTATTAGTAGTAGTAATAAACATTAATATTCTGTGTCTCCTTTTGTAGATGACGTTAAAAAACTGTTAAGGGAGTTAGATGTCATGAGTTCCGTCATTGCTCAGCTTGCTCCAGAAGGTAACTTTCCATCGTGCATCTGTTTCAAAAGCAGGGCTGGTTTATTTTTCACATTGGGCTAAACTATTCATTGAAAATAGTTTACATAGTCTCAGCTGTGAATTGTCATTAAAATCTCTCAAACCAAGATGGACTCCAACCAAGTAAGATTTGCAAAGCTTTGGTTTTCAAAACGTATTTTAACATAATGCTTGAGTAAGCCTTTTGCATACTTGTGTTGTTTATCTCTGATGCACAGAAGAAGTGGTTATCCATGAGTTTGCCAGTCTTTGCCTGGCGAACATGTCTGCAGAGTGTACCAGCAAAGTGCAAATATTTGAGCATGGTGGGTTAGAGCCACTCATCAGACTGCTGGCCAGTCCAGACCCTGACGTGAAGAAGAACTCTATTGAGTGCATTTACAACTTGGTCCAGGTGAGGGTCATTTCTAAAAGTGTGTTTTGACCAAAGCTATTTCTAGAATTTATTTCAAGATTGCTCTGCTATTTAGGGTCTTTTATGGTTCCATACAAATTTTAGGATTGTTTGGTCTAGCTCTGTGAAAAATGCTGTTGGTATTCTGATAAGGATTGTATTAAATGTGTAGATTGCTTTGGGTAGTACAGACTTTGTTCTTCCAATCCATGAGCATGGGTTGTCTTTCCATTTCTTTATGTCCTCTTCAATTTCTTTCAATGTTTTATAGTTTTCAGAGTTCGGGTTTATGAAAGGGCATTTTAGGAGTGTATTTAAATTTTGAAAGAATAGAATGGCTTGCAAATTAAGACAGGATTATACTAGACAAATGTATTTCTTCTGAAACAGGATATCTAATATATTGAACTAAGTTTGACACAGGCAGTCATTTGTTGACCTAACCTTGGTGATCTAAGCACATTGGGTGCAATATATGCCTTATTCAGTGTACCAACATTTTGGATTAGGCTTATTTATTGGTGGAGATCCAGTAAGTTGAGTACACTGAACAGAACTCATTGTTCACAATTGCAAGATGCTATGTCACTGAACAGTTTTCCTTTGTTATGGAAAGAAACAGCCTCCATTGGCCTTTTCCACCTGTGCTGTTCTATGTCCCTACTCCTAGCTGCAGCCCCACAAGGCACACACACTCACACCCACAACAGGTCCCCTTCCTGACACTTTGGGTACCCTTCTCTGCTTCTTTCCTTGCTCAGGTTCCTGAACAATTCCCATACACCCTTGATAAGCTTTAGATCAACTGAAGATACAAAAACACCACCTTAAGTAGCCAGCAGTGGAGTATAAAAGGAAGAGGTAGTGAAGTGAAAATGAGGCCTCCATTTCATGGAGAGGCGATGAGCTCACGCCCAAAGACAGTAAAGCAGACCTACATTCCTGGCCTTAGAAGTCATTGCCACAGGGCTGGGCACTCATTGGCTTTACTCTTGCTCTTCCTGAGGGACACATTCTGAAGGAAGCTCAGCTGTTTACCTTCTCTCATTCCACAGGCCTAAATAAGCCAGTCAATGTATTAGTATCTTTTATCTTAAGACTCCTCATAGCTTTGATTTCCCTGTATTTTTTCTTTTTATCAAACACAAATGAAAAGCTTACCTTCACTATTCCTTAGAACAGAAATATACTAGTTAATAACGGTATATTAATTTCCTTGGTTTACAACTGCATCACTGCAATCTCTCCTCCTCCTTTTAAAGACACACTCTTAGGAGGACACCATTAAGTACCTACCCTACTCCACTATGACCTTATCTTAACTAATGACATCTGCAATGACCCTGTTTCCAAATAAGGGCACATTCTGAGAGTTAGGACTTCCAACTTATAGCTTGGGAGGGACATAATTCAACCTATAACAAATAGTTACCCATGATTTTTATATTTGTAGGAAGCATTCGTTGAAGAATGGATAGAGAAACCTAAGCTGTTAGTTAGTAGGGTTTTTCCACCTTTAATATTATTTTACATTTGTGATGCTTTGATTTTAAGTGTCATGATTTAGCAGTCAGAGTTTGGGGGCTCTTCATGACTTTTTGCTCTGTTTTCTCCGTTGCTGACCCCAACTAGCCCTGTCCCCACCACTCAACATACACAAAATTATAGACAAACTGCAGAGCAACTCATCTAGACTCTAATGACCCCTTGATATTGTAAACGTCTTAAATAAAGGTCATGTGTCTGAACTAAACCTGATAAAAATCTGTGTGCACAGGGCCTGCCAACAGCACTATGTGCATGTATACGTTTCATAAGCATTCCATTTGAATAAAGATAATAAGGAATTGATGCCATCATTTCATTTTATCAAATACAATTTGAAATAGTGTACAGTGTGTGAAAAGAATTTGATTATGTACAGATTTTATTGTAATGCTATTTGTAATAAAAGAAATTTGCTGGATAATAAACAATAGATACTGCAGAAGTCATAGATCGCATCTTCCTGTTATCGACAATGTCTGCAGAGTTAAAATGAATATTTAGATGTTGCTGGTTGAGGGTTTGCTTATATTTTGGGGGAGTTATTTTGGAAGGGAATCTGGAATAAAGATGGGAAACCTAGAATATCCTTCGTTAGAAGGTAGAGTTTTCCATTCTTGAGATTGACTGTATTTTGCTTTCGAAGTTACTTATTTGATCATTTGTATTTCATGGCAGGATTTTCAGTGTCGAGCTACAGTTCAAGAACTAAATGCAGTCCCCCCTATATTAGATCTCTTGAAGTCAGAATATCCAATTATTCAATTGTTGGCTCTCAAAACCTTAGGTGTTATCACAAATGATAAGGAGGCACGGGTGATGCTAAGGGACAATCAAGGAATGGACCACCTTATTAAAATCCTAGAAACTAAGGTATTTGTAACTTTCATTCAACTCTCTACAGGGAAATGTATCTCTTCTAAATGTTGTTATAAAATATGAACTGTAGAATTTTTAAAAATGAAATTTTAATATATTTAAGCATAGTACTAAGTACAATGGACTAATTTGCTTATTGCTACATTATCAGCATGATTAAATCAGATTAATGATAAAGGCCATTATAAAATAATTTTTTTAGTCTTCTGGTTTAGATATTTAAGGTTTTAAAATTCTTGTTTAGGACCTTCTTTATGATTTCCTGAAGTACCTAGAATTAGTCTTTTAAGCTTTATCGGCCATAGTTTTCTCTAAGGTAAAGTAAGAAGAGTTGTTTACTCCTCATTGTGGAGAGTAATCTGCTTTACTCAGTCTATTGACTTAAATATTATTATTTTTTAAAATTTTATTTATTTCTTTGACAGAGACAGATCACAAGTAGGCAGAGAGGCAGGCAGAGAGAGGAGGAAGCAGGCTCCCCGCTGAACAGAGAGCCCGATGCAGGGCTCGATCCCAGGACCCTGAGATCATGACCTGAGCTGAAGGCAGAGGCTTTAACCCACTGAGCCACCCAGGCACCCTTAAATATTATTTTCATCTAAAGAAATACTTTCACAGAAACATCTAGAATAACGTTTGACCAAATATTTGGATACCATGGCCTACCCAAGTTAATAATCATCATAAGTCCATCTCTTATAAATTTGGTACCCTTACCCATCTCCTTAAATCATACTCAATCTCCAAGTAAAGGCAATAGCAGGGTCCTACTTCTGCCTGGCATGATGTAACTATCCTGTGTACAACCAAAACATACTAACCCTTTTTCCAGAACAGGATGCAATGATGTTTACTCTTCTCCTTGATATCCTATAACGTAAATACTGTGATGTAAAACTAGTGCTAATTTTTTAAAGTTAGTACATCTTATGTTACCTAAGGGGATAAGAGAGGGGGAGAAAAACAAAGATATTTCATACATACACACATACACACTGATTTATAACAAAATAAGGAAAAAATACTCATGGCAATTGCAACCCTTTTGTCTATAGGTGGCCACATGGTGGTAGTTAGTATTTTTAACTACTTTCCTCCGATACACATTCCATGATCCCTTTGCCCTCAGCAAGTACTTCAGCTGGATGCAGTTCTTTGCCTGGTCGGGTGATCCATATCTTCATTCCTGAGGGTCTGGGCCATTAGTAGTCCTGCCTGGATTGCATAGTTACAGTTTTCCGTTGACCTTAATCGCAACGCATGGTAATACTAAGAGACACCACCCTGAGGACTTCCTATATTCTAGATACAGACTTCTTACCTCTACTGTGGAGTAACAGTCCAATATCCCCTTGGTAAATGGGATCAGTCACCCCAGCAGCATTGTAACTCCCTCCTTTGCCTGCTTTAGAGGCATGGGGAGGCCAAAGTGGCTGGGTGGCAGTTTTTAACTTCCAGTTCAGTGGAATCATTGTTGTGTCTCTTGGTGGAAGCATTCTCCCCTTTGGAACTAAGACCTCTGGGCCAGCAGAGCCTAAGGTCTGGGAGACAGGTAGCAAAAATGTTGCTCGTGGGTCCCTGGGGGTAATCATGACTGCTGCCACACCCATTTCCACCCCTTGATTCCTGGACCCACCATCACTGGCTATGGGAGAAGGGCACCTTATATCAGATGCTGATTCAGAACATAACCTTGTGGAGAACCTTGCCCAGCCCCTGCAAAGTACTGCCACTTTGCTGACATTGTAACTAAGTCTTCAGAAGGCCATTCTGTCAAGCCAGCTGCTTCAGGATGGTGGGGATCATGGTAAGACGGGGAATTCCATGAGCATCCTTCCTGTGTTCCTCTCACTCTAAGGATTCCCACTTTAAATGTCTTGCTGTTCAGGGAAGGCTGCAGTTTTCCACAGCGATGGGGATTCGGGAGATTCGTCAAGCAAGAAGGCCACAAACTTATAATACTTCGTCTACTAGTAGGAGATTTTAAGGAATATGCTTTCCTTCAGCTTCTGTCTGCTTTTTCAAAGAATATTATCTTTGGGGAGCCTGGCTGGCTCAGTGGGTTAAGCCTCTGCCTTCGGCTCAGGTCATGATCTCAGGGTCCTGCGATCAAGTCCTTCATCGGGCTCTCTGCTCAGCGGGGAGCCTGCTTCCTCCTCTCTCTCTGCCTGCCTCTCTGTCTACTTGTGATCTCTGTCTGCCAAATAAATAAATAAAATCTTAAAAAAAAAAGAATATTATCTTCAGATTTTAAAGGTGTTGGTGGTAGGAGGTTGTATGAGCAGCTTCACTTGGCTGCCATTACTGGAAATGTCTAGTAATTATCTTTTTTCTCCGGGGGAGGGGAAACAAGAAGAGATGGGCAAACTGTGAGGAAGAGCAATGTCATGATCATAAACAAAACTATTTCCTTGGGCATCTGTCACAACAAAGTTAACAGCATTGTGTTTTGACTGACCTTTGTCTTAACAGTAAAATTTAGGAAGTATCCACCTCTTTTAGTACAGTTTTCTAAAGTTACTCTTGCTTTTATTATTAGGAATTGAATGACCTTCATATAGAAGCACTTTCCGTGATCGCAAATTGCCTTGAAGATATGGATACTTTGGTGCTGATTCAGCAGATGGGGGGTCTTAAGAAGCTCCTGTCATTTGCAGAAAACTCTACAATTCCTGACATTCAGAAGAACGCAGCAAAAGCAATAACTAAAGCAGCTTATGATCGTATGTCTCATTTTATATAAACTAAGCACACATATTTCCTCTTTTATTCTTGATTTAGATTAGAATTAAGCACTAGAGTATTTGTCTGCTTTTATTTTTTTAAATTTTATTGTATTTTATATTTTTTCAGTGTTCCAAAATTCATTGTTTATGCACCACACCCAGTGCTCCATGCAATACGTGCCCTCCATAATACCCACCACCAGGCTCACCCATCCCCCCACCCCCTCCCCTCCAAAACCCTCAGTTTGTTTCTCAGAGTCCATGTCTCTCATGGTTCATCTCCCCTTCCAGTTTCCCCCAACTCACTTCTCCTCTCCTTCTCCCAAAGTCATCCATGTTATTCCTTATGCTCCACAAGTAAGTGAAGCCATATGATAATTGACTCTCTCTGCTTGGATTATTTCATTCAGCATAACCTCCTCCAGTCCCGTCCATGTTGATACAAAAGTTGGGTATTCATCTTTTCTAATGGAGGCATAATACTTCATTGTATATATGGGCCATATCTTCTTTATCCATTCGTCTGTTGAAGAGCATCTTGGTTCTTTCCACAGTTTAGTGACAGTGGTCATTGCTGCTATGAACATTGGGGTACAGGTGGCCCTTCTTTTCATTATATCTGTATCTTTGGGGTAAATACCCAGTAGTGCAATGGCAGGGTCATAGGGAAGCTCTATTTTTAATTTCTTAAGGAATCTCCACACTGTTTTCCAAAGTGGCTGCACCAACTTGCATTCCCACCAACAGTGTAAGAGGGTTCCCCTTTCTCCACATCCTCTCCAACACTTGGTCGTTTACTGTCTTGTTAATTTTGGCCATTCTAACTGGTGAAGGTGGTATCTCAATGTGGTTTTGATTTGAATTTCCCTGATGGCTAATGATGATGAACATTAAAAATAGTGTTATTTTTTCATGTGTCTGTTAGCCATTTGTATGTCTTCTTTGGAGAAGTGTCTGTTCATGTCTTCTACCCATTTTTTGACATGATTATCTGATTTGTGTGTGTTGAGTTTGAGGAGTTTTTTATAGATCTTGGATATCAGCCCTTTGTTTGTAGTGTCTTTTGCGAATATCTTCTCCCATTCCGTGAGTTGCCTCTTTGTTTCCTTTGCTGTGCAGCAGCTTTTGATCTTGATGAAGTCCCTAAAGTTCATTTTCGCTTTTGTTTCCTTTGCCTCTGGAGACATGTCTTGAAAGAAGTTGCTGTGACCGATGTCAAAGAGGTTACGCCTATGTTCTCCTCTAGGATTTTGATAGATTCCCGCCTCACATTGAGGTCTTTTATCCATTTCGAGTTTATCTTTGTGTAAGGTGTAAGAGAATGGTCGAGTTTCATTCCTCTTCACATAGCTGTCCAATTTTCCCATCACCATTTATTTAAAAGACTGTCTTTTTTCTACTGTATATTTTTTCCTGCTTTGTTGAAGATTATTTGACTGTAGAGTTGAGAGTCCATTATCTGGGCTCTCTACTCTGTTTCACCGGGCTATGTGTCTGTTTTTGTGCCGATACCATGCTATCTTGGTGATCACAGCTTTGTAGTAAAGCTTGAAATCAGGCAACATGATGCCCCCAGTTTTGTTTTTCTTTTTCAACATTTCCTTAGCAATTTGAGGTCTCTTCTGGTTCCATATAAATTTTAGGATTGTTTGTTTCAGCTCTTTGAAAAATGCCGGTGGAATTTTGATCAGGATGACATTGAAAGTATAGATGACTCTAGGCAGTATAGACATTTTAACAATGTTTATTCTTCCATTCCATGAGCATGGAATGCTCTTCCATCTTTTTGTGTTTTCTTCTAAATAGTCATTTGAGAATAGGTGCCATATTTACTATCTGGCAGCAAAATTCATCCTAATGCCAATGAGTAAAAGGAGAGATTGCTTTGTCAGGGATATAATAAACTCTTTGATTTAATTATGAGTCTTTTTTTTATTAGGCAATTCATTCCTAAATTGTTTTTAAGTCTGTATTTCTCTTGATTTTGAAATTCTACAGAATCTGTGCATTGTTTGTGATCCTAAAACATTGTTTCAGTATATCCACATTTGGAAAGGTATCTATATAGTAATTTCAATGTCAGCTGGAGACAAGCAGTGCCATGTGATATAGCTGAGAAAAATAATATGCTCATACTATATACATAATACAATTTTCATTTCAGTGGCAAGCTATGTTGACATAAATCTGTAAAATATGAGGGATAAATTATATCACAGGTACTGAAGATGAAATTATAGTTTTAATTTATGTATATTTGGAGTCTTTTATTTAATCAAAGAAGTGATTTTATTTTCCCCCTTCCACATCACTCCTCTTATAAACGATGACAGTTCTGACTAGTTTAAGTGATTTATATTCTAAACATATATACTCACATCTGTATATTTGTCTATGTGTATATTATGGGAAACATTTCCTTCTCAATCCATACTGATTTCTTGAAGGCAGAATTTTATTGCAGTAAGCCGAGTTTCACCATCCAGTGCATAGTTAACATAGAGGGGACTTGGCAAATCTAGACAGGCTGTGAAATTAAAGTTTTTAATACTGGCATAAGTTGCTTGATTCAGTATTCTGTCAAATAGAGTTTAGACCTTATCAATCCTGATCAGTTCTGTTTTCCAACTTTCTCAGGACTTCTTAGCTATTTGAGACCAAAAGCCATGGACAATATCAGACCTAAAATTTTTACAATTTCTCTTATTTCAAGATGGTCGCAGCCCCTCTTGGGTTAGTGAGTTTCATGAATTTATTACTCATCATGTGATGTAGCATTGGGAAGAGCACTGGATGGAGAGTCCCTGGTGGTCCAGTTGTTCTGCTAGTCCCACTACTGGCACTGCGATGACCTAGGTTGTGACTATGAGGGAATCACAGCCTCTCTGGACCTATTTATTAATGATTTATTGAGCCCCCACTCTGTGTCAATAAACCCAGAATAGGCAAGGAAACAGGTGATCACACTGTAGTGTTAAATGGGCTTGATGATGGAAGAACAGGATTGGGGGGGCAGGGTAACTAATTGTCAGCTTGGATCAGATAGATCTTCCTGACATATGAGATTTATAAGCTAGGACCTAAAATAAATAATAGAAATTGGCTGGGCAAAGAGGGTCATGGTGAGATGGGGAAGGATCACCAGTGCTCTAAAGGGAAAGAACAGTATATAAAGGCCAGAGGAGAGACTGAGCATGGTAAATTCCAGAACTGAAAGTTTTCAGTGAATAGAATACAGTAGAAAACTAAAAGTGAAGGCTGTAGAAAGAGGAACCAGATGCTAATGGGTGATAGAGGCCAAGTTAAGGACTTTGGACCTTATTTTGCTAGCAACAAAGAGCCACTGAAGTGGCTTAGAGAGCTGAGGGACCATTACAGATAGTCACTTTTTTTTTTTTTTTAAAGATTTTATTTATTCATTTGACAGACAGAGATCACAAGTAGGCAGAGAGGCAAGCAGAGAGAGAGAGAGGAGGAAGCAGGCTCCCTGCTGAGCAGAGAGCCCAATGTGGGGCTCGATCCCAGGACGCTGAGATCATGACCTGAGCTGAAGGCAGAGGCTTTAAACCACTGAGCCACCCAGGTGCCCCCAGATAGTCACTTTTTAAAGAAAGCACCCTCTTGCTGCAAGGTGGAGGAGAGGTTAGAAATGTGCAGGACCAGACCCAAAAAAGACCAGGAAGGGGATTGCTGTGGTTATCGAGGTAGAAGATGAGAGTATCCTGAAACAGACATTTGCAAGGAGGACCACCAGCACAGTGCTTGGCACATTGGGAGGGTCCATAAGTGTTTGTTGATTGACTACCTGGGTGGGAGGAGGAAGAAGGCAATGTCAAGAATAAGACCAGGTTTCTGGCTGGGATGGCTAGAAGCAGGATGGTGCCATTCATAGAAATGATTTTTTGATGAAAAGAAAGGAAATGAATTTTATTCTTCTTTTAAAAATGGTTGTAAGACGGGGCACCTGGGTGGCTCAGTGGTTAGGCCTCTGCCTTCAGCTCAGGTCATGATCTCAGGGTCCTGGGATCGAGTCCCACATCGGGCTCTCTGCTCTGCGGGGAGCCTGCTTCCTCTTCTCTCTCTCTCTCTCTCTCTCCCCTTGCCTCTCTGACCACTTGTGATCTCTCTCTGTCAAATAAATAAAATCTTAAAAAAAAAAAAATGGTTGTAAGAGGGGTGCCTGGCTGGCTCAGTTAGTGGAGCATTGCGACTTTTGATCCCAGGGTCATGAGTTTGAGCCCCATGTTTGGTGTAGAGATTATAAAGAAATAAACTTTAAAATAAATAAATAAATAGATAAATTGGCAAAATACACATAATACGCAAAATACACATAATATTAAGTTTATTTATAATATTGAGTTTATTTATAATAAACTTAATATTAAGACAATAAACTTAATATTATAAATAAACTTAATATTAAGTTTATTGTCTTAACCAATTTTAAGCTCAATGGCATGAAGTCCATTCACATTTTTGTGCTGCCATCACCAACATCCGTCTCCAGAACTCTTTTACATCTTGCCAAAGAGACAGCCTGTATCTATGGAACAGTGAACTCCCCACTTCTTCCTTCTTGCAGTTCCTGATAACCACCATCCTTGCTGTCTCTATGGTTTTGACTATTTTAAGTGCTTATGTAAGTGGAACCATATAATATTTGTCCTTTTGTGATTGGCTTATTTCACTTTGCACGACTTATCCTCAGGTTCATCCATATTCTAGCATACGTCAGAATTTCCTTCCTTTTTAAGCCTGGCTAGTGTTCCATTGGATGTAAATATCACATTTTGTTGATCTATTTGTCTATTTTTTTTAAAATATTTTTTACTATCTATTTATTTGACAGAGAGACAGAGAGCACAAGTAGGCAGAGGGGCAAGGAGAGGGAGAGGGAGAAGCAGGCTCTCCGCTGAGCGGGGAGCACGATGCAGAACTTAATCCCAGGACCCTGGGATCATGACCTGAGCTGAAGGCAGACGCTTAACTGACTG